GATGATGATGATGATGATGATGATGATGATGATGATGATGATGATGACAATTACAATGACTGGAGAGGCATCAGGGCATAGCTTCCAGGAATAGCAAGGAGAGAGTTCCACTTTATTCTGCTGTCATCAGAAATCATCCCGAGTATTGTATTTGGCTCTGAGTGCACAGTCTAAGAATGCTGATAAGCTAGAGTATCCAGAGGAAAGCAACCAGTGTAGTGAAGGGCCTTAAATCCATGACAAATGAAGGTCAGTTGAAGAAACTGGGCAGATTTGGCCTGGAGAAGAGAAACCTCAGGAGTGACTTGATAGCAATCTTCCACTCTTTGAAGCAGGGACTTGTTCTTTATTGGCCCCAAAGGGCTGAACCAGTAGCAGTGGGTGGAAATTGTAAAGAGACAAATTTAAGTTTGAAAGATCGGGAAAAACTCCCTAACATCAGAGCTGTTCAAGCATGAAATGAGCTGTCTAGGGACGTGGTAGGACAATCCTCCTTGGACTTCTTTAAGCAATGACTGAATGACCCACTCATCATGTACAACATAGTGAGGATTGCTTTTGTGTAGGAATTGGACCAGATGGACATGGAAGTCTTTTAACTCTTAAAGTCTGTGATTCTGTGATTCTGGGTGATGGATACAGAGCCAGCCTCTGAACCAGGAAAACTTGGGTCCCAAGTCCCACCTTGGACACATTCTGTCTGTGTGACCCTAGATGTGTCACTTAACTTCTCAAAGATCTCAGGTAATTCATGACCATCATTTGCTTGAGAAGATGGCAATCTACAATGGTAAAGGGAGTTTGTTTTTTTTCCCTGCAAGCTCCCCATACATATCAATGAAGTGACAGATCTAGTCCAAAGGCAATAAAACCCTCATCCCATTTTCTTCTCAAAGAAGATAGTAAATGGGACCTGTGAAATCCTTTTGGTTTTCCAGAAGACTTGTTTCTGTGTGGTTCAGTGTTGAAAGGATAGAGTCGTAGGAGTATAGAATACTAGATCCATGGTTGGAACCCCCGGTGCTCATCAACTCCAACCCCATAATTTTACAGATGAAAAAACCAAGGTCAGGGAGGTGATGTGTGACCCACAGTCTCACAAGTAGTTATGTACTGGGGGAAGGGGGGATTTGAACCCAAGTCCTCTGACTCTAAATTCAGTGCTCATTCACTATACCAAGCATGTATCATATTCAATCATTCAGTCGTGGCTATTTAACATTTTTCCTTCTTCCATGTACCTTTCATCTCTTAATCACAAATGCAGTTCTATTTTTTTCTCAGGTTATAATTTCAAAGTGTCTGCTATTTTCTCATGTATTAACCATGTATGTGAACAGACCCAGGAATCCTTTGTCACTTCTGCACTCCACACGAGGTATATGACTTTCCTTCTTTGTGACAATTGCTATCTGATTCATGTCGTCTGAATGTGACCAGTCATCAGAGCCAGGTAGAATCACTTTAGTTCAAATAAAGATCAGAAGTCTGTCAGGCGAGACCTAAGAGCCTTGCAGACAACCGGGTCCCATCCCAAACACCTTGGGAACAAGAAACGAGCTGTGCTATGTGTGTGGTGCATACTACACAAACTTGTGATCTTTTCTTTTTCTTCCTTTTCCTGTACAGAAAAGATAGAAATGGAAGTGAGGACTGCTCAGGCCAAGTGATGAGCTCAGCCCATTGGATTCCAACTGTCTCAAGCTGCTTTCTCATTCCAACCCTATCCCAATAGCCCCACCAACCAAATGCTCAGATGTAACCTAAGCAATAACAAGTCTTCTCCCAAGACCAGGTTTGATGAGCACCAAGGGGCCAGTGAACCTGCCTACCTTCTTGGCACAGTTGAAAGCCAAGTATGCCATGGGAGAAGACTTGCTGTGTGACCAAGAATCAAGACTGGATGAAAGAAGAAAGCACCAGAGCCAGCTATGTTCCACCCCCTTGACAAGGCCAGTAGGGTCAATCCATACTCACTGCTCCCAGGGTTGATGTTGAACAGCAGAAGGACGTACATCTGCAGGGCAAAACCAACAGAAATACCACTTGGCTAGAGTCCCCACAGAATGAGAGAACATGAAAAATAAATAAAGATACCAAGCAGGCAATAAGTGTATCTCTCCTTTTAGATTGGGCCTTCCCACGAGTGAGTGACCACCCCTGTCAGGAAGGCTCCAGGAGATCCCACGCCACAGACAGGGCAGAGCTTAGTGAACATGCAGGGAAACCAAGCACCCATACCCCACTTCAAGGGACAAGCTCAGAGTCCCCTTATTGGCCTCCCTGCCTGCCAAAACCCATTGACAGTGCAGGTTAAAATTGGACTTGGGGGGGCAGATATTTTAAATCCTATGATTTCTCCCCGAAGTAAAGGAAATGTGGGTCCAGCCTGCTGTTTTGAGTGCCTTCTGGTCCATTTCCACATGCAACACCCTAAACTATAGCCTCCCCCCTTAGTGTTGCAGCCAAAGACAATACTCCTCATTTTCTTTTTAACATGAGCATCACATCTACAGCACCTAGGTAATGGAAATACCTAGAAAAGAGTGAAGTCCAAGGGCTTTCAACTGTGACATTGTCAAATTAGTGTTGGATGCTGCTATTTAGACAGCCACTCAAGTATCACCCAGACTTCTGACAAAGCAGATGGACAGAGCAAAGCCCTTAGCACTGCCAGGGATTGAAAGTCCCACCACCCCAGGAAACTTCCTTTACACACTGTGGCAATGTGGCTGGTGCCCTGTCTCTCTAAGGAAAGACATCTTCAGATAAGCACACCTTCAAGGACAGGAGAGGAAAGGAATGAGGAGAGGAGAGAGAGAAGAGAGAGAGGAGAGGGAGAGGGAGAGAGACAGAGACACAGAGAGACAGAGACAGAGAGAGACAGAGACAGAGAGAAACAGAGAGACAGAGAGAGAAAGATGCTATAAATATTTAAAGAGCTATACTACTGAATGAACGTCCCAACATTTTGTAATAGATGCCTTAGGCAATCCTTGTAAAGGTCACATTGCATGAAAGAAGTGGTTTCAAAATTGGGCTTCATGCCTCACTTGTCCAATCACAGCTTAAAAATAGCCAGGAGCTAAAATAACAAGGTGTAGAGATATATGCTGTGGTCCCCCAACCTGCTTCACTGATTTCCATCAGTATCAAACCTCCCTTTTGATTTACCTACCTTTCCTTCACCAGAATCCCAAAGATAATCTGGGGTTCTGCCTATGAGGAAGGAGACCCGTCCTTCCCAACTGACTGCCTGCCCCCTTCCACCACCTCCACCCCATTCAGTCATGATATACCACACACCAATGCTTAGGACCAAAGTAAGAAGGGTTAGTGTGGACTGAAACGCTGGTGGCAGAATATTAGCCAGCTACTACAGGGTCCAAGTCATGCCATTCAGGATGTACACAAAGCCAAAAAGAAATCAGGCTGGCCCTAAAGGAAATCAGACGGTGAGCCCAAAGGAAATTTAATAAACTATCTACTCTATCACCTTCGCTCTGTGTCTATTTTTTAAGTTTTCATTGATTATGTATTGGTCAGATGCCCTGCATCCTCAAGTGTAATAGCTACAGCCAACTCTTGAACCCTTTCTTTGGAGTGAACGAAGCAGGTGTGTCCAGGGTGGTTATTGATATTTATTGATGGGGACAAAGTAATTGGTGGTGGTAGCCACTTGGGGGAAGGAGAGAAAGAGTACATTCAAAGCCCGGAGATATTCAGAATTTAATAGCAATAGTGACCCAAAATAGAGTTTTTCTGAGACACCAGACTTGACAACCTGAGATCCCCAATGGAATTTGCATTTCAGAAGATAAGGAGAATCTAGAACATGCCACATTCCCACTGTGCAAACCTAGGCAGCAGGTATCAATAGCCAAAGTGTCTCTGGGGCACTTAAGACAGAGGAATTTCCAAATACTGTCTACTTTGAACCTATAAAACCATCAATCAATCAAGTATTAAGTGCCTACTATGTGCCAGGCACATATAAAACATGCATGAAAATTAGAGCTGATGAAGAACAGTGAAAATTAGCAAATGGATTGAGCCCAGAGTCCCTGGAGCCTGGTGGATTAGGAACCTGCAAGAGACACCAAAAGGATTTTAGAAAGCTAGCATGTTTGCCTCAAACCAGCCAAGGTAGTCTGGTCCTCATGGGAGAGAGAGAGAGGTTGCTACTGCTCTTTGGTCATATTCCTGTAACTGATTTAATTACATGAAATTTCTCAATCCCTGAGTTAGAAGAAAGGCTTATTTAATAGTTTGTGAGAGAGCCAGTGCTCCTATATCCAGACTTTTCTGTGGAAATATTTATATTGAAAATCTACTGAAGAGGTAAGCTGGTATAGTTTAATTCTCCATGTCCTGGGGTACACCATTTATATTATATTTTATTTTTTTAATGTAAATAGTATTTGGGGCAGCTAGGTGGTACAGTGGATAGACTCCTTGGAGTCAGGAGTATCTGAGTTCAAATCCAGCCTCAGACACTTGACACTTACTAGCTGTGTGACCCTGAGCAAGTCACTTGACCTCATTGCCTAGCCAAGAAAAAAATGTAAATAGTATTTTATTTTTCCAATTACATGTAAAGATAATTTTCAACATTCATTTTTTATAAGATTCTGAGTTCCAAATTTTTCTCCCTCTCTCCTCCCCAAGACAGCAAGCAATCTGATATAGGTTATACATGTGCATGTTTAAGATATTTCCATGTTAGTCACTACATTATATTTGAAGGTGATAATATGCTGGCTGTGTGATCATAAGCAAATTATTTAAACACTTGGGGCTTCTAGGTAACTCCCTTATGAGTTAGTAGGGATAACTTGTATCCAGGGAGGGAGATTCTAAACCATGAATTGCCCATGCCCATGAAACCACAAGTCTGAACAGAAAAGGGAAAGGTTTCGAAAATACTTTACCATACAGTATCTCAATATTGCCACTCACAACACCTCCACAAGATAGTTGCTACAGAAAATCCTATTCCCATTTGTCATATGGGGGCTCATAGACCTTAAGTGACCTGTCCATGGTCACCCAGCTAATACCAGTCACAAGTGAGGTGAATCCTGGGATCTCCTGCCTCCTCTGCCACACAGTGCTCCTCCAGTTTAGATACAACTTTCTCTCCAGGATTTGCTTTGAGGTTTGCAAAGTGCTTTAAGCATAGAAGGCTTTTAATTCTCACAATCACCCCATGAGGGAGGTGTTAGTGTTATCACCATGTTATAGATGAGGAAACTGCATTTCAGAGAGTTTATATGCTTTGTCCAGGTCACATATTGATGCTGGAGACAGGATTGGAAGCCAGGTTTCCCCTGACTCCTGCTTAGCTCATTCCACTGCACACTACTGTCTCATGGAGGTACTTGAAGGTGAAAGGACTTAGAACAAGTAGGAACTTTTCCCCTTCTCTAGAGACTTCGAAGTAAACCATTTGATATCTCATGAAGAAGGATAAGAGGAAGATGGAATGGTCTAGTGGACAGAAAGCTGACCTTGAAGTTAGGATTCAACCCTTATCTCTCACACACACACACACACACACACACACACACACAGAGGGTTGGGTGACCCTGGACAAGTCACTTAAGCTCTTCCAGCCCCTGGGCAACTCTCTGTGAGTGGTAGAAAAGGTGTCATCTGAATGAGTTGAGAGAATTTCCTCAACAAGAGGAGTTTCCTACACAAACAATACCGCAAATTAAGTACCCAAAATAGAGGGGTGGGCACTTAAGTCAGATATATTCCCACACAATCAAGTGGGGTGAGATTTTGTTTGTTCTGTAAAGTACCAGGTATGTACACACACACACACACACACACACACACATGGGCACACACACATACTCATGCATGCATGCATGCATGCACACACACACCTGCCTCCTCCTTGAGGTTCACTGTGGTCAGAGATAGCATAAGCACAGGCCTGAGGACAGCGTAGCTCTCAGAATTTCTTCTCGACTCATTCAAGGGCCAAGTTCTCTTGCAAGCAAGTCTAACCTCCTAACCAAGATTATTTCCTATGATCCCAGGGCCATCCACATAGACGGTAGGATAAAGCAAGACATTTTACAAACTTCAGAACCAGGGGAGGAAATCTCTGATCTGCAGGACCCCATCTTAATTGAAAGCAAACATGCCTATGTTCTCAGTATATTTTCAAAGGTACCTTTCCAGAAGGACCAATGACAGAGGCCAGGGAAAGAGAACAGAGGGTCTTAGTAATGAAAGAAGACCCAGAAATGTTCTATAAATAAAGCCTGTCAATAAGCAAGTCCATGTAAAATTGAGGGAAAGGACCTTCAATTATTATTTGACTGTGGAGTCAAGATGAGAAAGAGGGACACTGGGGAGGCTCAAGTCAAGACCAGTCCCTCCATAGACATCAGGTGAGTCACAAAACTCCCTTAGATGCTTTCATTCAATTCATTCAACAAGCATTTATTAAACATCTACTGGTGCCAGGCCCCATACTAGGTACAGCCTACATCCTACTTCAAGAAGCAACATGAACACAACTAACATAAAATAAATACAGTAATTGAGAGTGGCACTGGCAATCAGAGATTGAGAGGGTCCTGATTAGGAAATGCTACTTTAGCTAAGCTTTGAAAAGAGTTAGGGATTTCCCAAGACAGAGAGGAAGATGGAGTACATTCCAGGAACAAGGGACAGCCTCTGAAAAGACACAGGGACAGGAGATGATGGAAGGGGGGGACAGCAAGAACACCTGTTTGGATGTAGCAGTTTGTGAAAGAATGCAATGTGCCTTCAACATAGAAAGGAACCTGATTGTCAAGCGTTTTAAATGCCAAAAAGAAAAGTTTGTATTTTATCTTAGAGATGAGAGGAGGCCAAACAACCACCAGAGTTCCTTGAGCTAGGAGTGACATGTT